CCTTAACGGCATAGGAAAACTGTTCATGGTATAATTGCATTCGATTTACATTTGAAAACAGATCTAAAAAGACACTTAATATCGAGTCATCTTATTGCGCTGTACAAGAGGAAATTAGCAATAGTTAATCAGAATGTCCGCACATCAAAAATCTGATTGCAATCTAGCCGCAAACGCAGAAACTCGCTAGTGCAGTCACTTGCGACCATCAACGTTTTTCAAAGCTTAATTTTGTTCTGTCACAATGGAAAAAATGCAGCAAACGCTGCACGTTCGTTATTTAGTTTCTCTTCTTATTAAAGAATTTAATGAGACAAATCAGATAGAGAGAGTATAAAATTCTGTATTTCTCAACGGCTTTCAGGTAGAAAAAACGACATCACAGCCCATATAGACCTTCAATTTGTTTGCTTGAATCACGAAAATGGCTCTAATTTACAGACGAAAACTGCACTGATAATGTCAACAAAGGTTGTTGCCAACAACATGGTATGCGCATTTTAAATATATACATGTATTTCAAAATCTGCTGTGCAATACAGTTCAACTCAGTTTAAACTTTAATTTGGTATCTGACCCCAAGAAATTAAAAACCGAAAACAATGTTGACAATGCTGTGATCAGTCGAAATTGGATTGCTATTTTGTATTTGACAAATAAAGAAGCCTAAGCCGTGTATTACACTGTGATAAAACAGAACGGGCATTTGAGAACACGAGGGAAATGTAGAAAACACGAGCTCCAGGATACATTTCACAGTGTAATACACGGCTTAGGCTTCTTCATTTGCTTTATGAAATAGATTTTACACGCCGCGACTAGAAAGAGCAAAGTACACAGATCGACAAACTGACGCAATTTAAGGCCACTGAAGTGCTACATGCCTCGTCTTCAAAACTTTCTGCTGCTTTCGCAGAGAACTCTATCACAAATTTCTTCAAAGAAATTGTTCGTTTCCGCCATCTCTAACAAAAATGTTGACTAGAGATAATGTGACGAAAAACAATAAAACATGCTTTTTCTATGTTATATACTGATATCAATATTATAATCTTATAACTATAGGTTTACTTGTTTCGAATGGGAGGAAAAGCCTTCCTAAAAGTAGTCAATTTACAAGCAAAAAGCGAAACAAAAAGCGAGGCTAAACGCGGCTGACATGTAGAAAACGAAATTTAACACATGAAGAAATGCATACAAAGGTTCAGCTTCTTTTTTTAGTGTCTGAAAACGTTCTTTTAGCTAGTGTTTATGACGAATTAAATTATGAATTGTTTGAAACCCCGCTCGCCCAGCTAGTATTTACTGACTCGGAGAAGAAAAGGAAAAGCACGAAAAATAAACGAGCGACACCGATCATACCTGTAAACACTTCCTGAAGTCTTCTGTTCGTTGATATGGATACATCAAGCCGCGCGCCTGAAAACATGTTCTTCATATTAAAACCTCGAAGTTAAATCTTGTCCCTAACATTTCGCCATTGAAGACGAATCCATTGTTTTGAATAACTTCAGTTCAGTCCTGACACTTCTGCCAAAATCGAATGCCGCAATAATTCTTCTTTTGATCCGATGATAGAAGAGATTTTTGGCTTTGTGTGGTTTGTTAACTTCAAAACGTCAAGTTATTTGAAAGTCGAGATTAGGTGACAATACTCAACAATGAAATTTGTTTACTTTAACCAATTTCGATCTTACTCTTTATAATTATGCAGTTTTAACTATTTGTTTTGTGCTTTGGTATCGTGAATACTGAAATGTTCATTACAAAACAATCCATATACCAGAACAAACTTCCGCCAGAGTGACGTTATAATTGAGTCGTGAAGAGTTTGATACTTGATCAGAGCATGTAGGCAACAAAATTACTTTATTACGGAAGGAAACAAAGCGCCATTAAAAGTTCTACAGTCCCTACTGACTGACCGCACATTTTGCCTCTTACGTCACCGTCATGATATGCGCAGATATGCAAGCCGGGCGTAAATTTCAGGGAGTATCCGCTGAGAATTTTGTGTGATGACGGGTTTTTCCGCTCTGAACTCTATTTAGGGGAAAACGGGTGTTTGAGAGACCTAACTGAGTGGACGACTGTGCTTGACTCGGGAATTAGCTTGGAGCAATTCGCTTGCTGCGGGAAAGGAACTTGTCACGGGTTCCAAAGTACCGTCGGATCTGCTACAACTGAAATCAGGACACTAAGAGGACTTCGACTTCACACGTTTATTCTTCCTACTTCGCTGTACGTCTAGGATGTCGAGAAGTAAATCGTCGTACAATGAACAGAGTACTTTACTCGTAGTAGCGGAATGCACGATTGCATCATGCAAGGAACAAAATAAAGACGGTTAAATAAAGTCGGTTTGAAACTAATGACAAACTAAAAGGTATCATAGACATAGAGTCTATGAATTCTCGGTTTTCACCAGTCATGTGATCAAAACTAAAAATCGTAACCATTCAATAAATAAATTCAAGAA